GGCGGCGGCCCAGGGAGGGAGGGAGGAGGGAGGAGGGAGGAGAGGGGGCGGGATGAATCACCGCGGGGGGAGGGCGCGTCCGCCTAGCCTTTGCCGCAGCGGCCCGGGAGGCGCCCGCTGCACCGGCCTCCCTCCGTGGCGCGGCGACCGCGACTTCTGGGCATGGGGCGGATGGTCTGGGTGTCCCCGACCTCTCCAGACATCGGGGACGCCCAACTTCGGAGCTCGGGAAAGGTCACCCCCAGAGTCACAAGAGGGCTTCGAGGGCTGCTAGGTGGCCAGGTTTCCGATTTCTGATTATGGAGGTCATCCTCACAGGACGTAGGGGAGCTTGGCTGGGACCTCCAAGTGACCTCCCCGCAGATCCCTGGCGTCCGGGCCAAGAGGTAACTGTGCAGGGACCCAAGTGGGCATGGGGCTGGGGGCTAGGGCTTCCCGGGAACCCTCCGGACACCACCCATGCAGGAGGGGCACCCTGGAGTCCTAACCAGAAAGGCTGCTCTGGGGGAACCAGGTTTCAGGTGAGAGGCCCTGCTTGACCGCTCGTGACTCCAAACCGCTTTATGCCTCTGACGTCATCTTCTAACCCTCTCCCCAGCCCCACCCCGCCCCATATACCAAGTTATTCCCGCCTCAGGGCCCTTCCTCTTCCCTCTGCCTGGATGCTCCCCTACCCCATGCCCGAGAGGCTCACCCCCTCACCTCCTGCAGCTCTCCGCTCCAATGTCACCCACCTCTGTGAGGCCTTCCTCATGTCCATTCGGGGTAAACTGTCTCCCCCACCCCTTATTTAGCCTCCTTTACACTGGGATGGTTTCTCCACAGCAATTGTTACTACCTGACATTATATGCTTCCTTTACTAAAGTTTATCTGTTCGTTGTCTCCTTTGCCCTGGAATGTATGCTCCCTCAGCGTCAGGTCACTGTCTTGCACACGGCTGTGTCTCCAGCACCTTCGAACGGTGCCTGGAACATTGCAGGTGCTCAATAAATATTTGCCGGATTAATAAACAACAGCTAATGCTTTCCCTGGAGAAGGACCTCATGCTTGGTAGAGGGTCGGCGTAAAAGAGGAAGACCCTCCATGAGATGGACTGACGGTGATTTCGACAATGGGCTCAAGCAGCAATGATTGTGAGGATGGTGCAGGGCCAGGCAGTGTTTTCTTCTGTTATATAGGGTCGTTAGGAGTCGGAGGGAGCTCTGGTGGCACAGGGGTTGAGCGCTGCAGCTGCTAACCAAAAAGGCTGGCAGTTCCAATTCACCAGGCGCTCCGTGGAAAGCCTATGGGGCAGCTCTACTCTGTCCTATAGGGTCTCCAGGAGTCAGAATCGACTCATTGGCAACCAGTTTTTGGTTTATGAGTCGGAACCAACTTGAGGCGTACCTGACAACAACAGTGCTTATTAAGTTCCCGGCTGTGCAGTGCGCTCGGCTGCTAACCAAAAGGCGGGAGATTCAAGTCCACCCAGAGGCCCCTTTGAAGAAAGGCCTGGCGATCTACTTCCAAAAAATCAGCCATTGAAAACCTATGAAGCACAGGTCTACCATGAATTGGAATAGACTTGATGGCCACTGATTTTTGGGGTTTTTAATGCTAATTAAGCTCTTCTGATATGCTGAACCCAGTTCAGCAGCAAGCAGGCCCTTTGCAACAAGTCTTATTAGCTCCATTTCCCAGATGAAACGGAGTAGGGAAGGGTCACTCCCTTGCCCGGGGTCATGTAGCTGGCCTGAAGTGGAGCTGGCATCCTGCCCTGGTTCTGCCAAATGGAGGCGATGGGGGTGGGGCTCTGGGCTACTGGGACCAGGGTAGGAGGGGCGCAGAGTGGGACTCATGGCTGGGGGTCGCTGCTCAGTCCTTGTCTCCAGTTCTAAGAAAGGTGAAGTCACGGACGCCCCCTTGCTTAGCAGGGTTGGGCCAGGGGAACCAGTGTGTGGGGCAGGCTGGGGGCAGAGGGACAGGGAGCCAAGGATACCCGACACCTTTGTGGTTTGGACCTTTACACCAGCACTTCCTGGGCTGTGACATTCCTCTGCCAAAAATAACCCTCTTGCTCGAGCCCTCCGGTCTGCAGGGGATGGTAGGTGGCAGCACAGTGCGGACAAGCCCTGGGCGCTGGGCAGGGGCAGCTAAGCGCCCTACAAGCTGATGTTCAACGAGGGCCTACAATGAACTCATTTAATTCTTCTCCAAGGTGGGCACTACTATCATTATGCCCATTTTACAGATGAAGTAAACAGGCTCAGAGTGGGTAACTTGCCACCATCACACAGACGGTAAGACAGGCTGGCTCTGCCCTTCGCCACTCATGGTCCATCCTGCCTCTCTCCAGCCCCTCCTCCAGTCCCCTGCCCCAAGCTATCAGCTAGGGTGAGCCTCAGCTTGACTGTGACGTCTCTTTACCACTCACTCACTCTGCGACAAGCACAGGGTATGAGTGAGACAGACGTGGGCTCCACCCAGGCCAGAGACTTCGCCTCTAAGCCCCAGTCTTCTCATCTGTAAAATGGGTCCAGACAGCCCCAACCTGGATGGGTTGTTGTGGGGGCCTGCAGGGGTTAGACCTTGCATTTCAGTGCGGGGACACCAGGGGCCAGGCCTGGGTCCTCGCTTTCCTGCCGGGAGGCCTTGGGCACGTAACTCTTATTTTATTGGTCTCATCCATAACGTGGGATTAAAGACTGTCCCATCTGACCGACCGCTGTGAGAATTAAATGAACATCTGACCTTGGCCCTGAGCTCAGTACACACTTAGTACTCACTACACGAGTTACTGAATAAGGAAGATGGAGGAAGAATTGATGCCTTTGCGTTGTGGTGCTGGCGGAGAATATCGAATATCCCAGGGACTGCCAAAAGAACAAACAGGTCTGTCTTGGAAGAAGTCCAACCAGAATGCTCCTTAAAAGCGAGGATGGCGAGACTTCATCTCACATGTTTTGGACATGTCATCAGAAGGGACCAGTCCCTGGAGAAGGACATCATGCTTGGTAAAGTAGAGGGTCAGTGAAAAAGAGGAAGACCCTCCACGAGATGGACTGACACAGTGGCTGCAACAATGGGCTCAAGCGTAACAATGACTGTGGGGATGGCGCAGGACCGGGCAGGGTTTCGTTCTGCGGTACATGGGGTCGCTGTGGGTCAGAACCGACTCGACGGCACCTCACAACAACAACCCAAGTTATTACTTTTTTCCTCTCAATGTTTCTGCAGTAAGAGAAGCATTCACTGAATACTTACGCGGTGCTGAGCCCTGTTATACACAGACACGTTTATTAGTTCCCTGAGTCCTTATAACAGTGGTGCTCATGGTGTGGTCCCCTGACAAGCAGCATCTGGGAACCTGTTAGAAATGCAGACTCTCAGCCCTGCGCCAGACCCACTGAACCCCCAACTCTGAGGGTGAGGCCCCACATCTGTCTTGCAGCAAGCTCTCTGGGAGATTATGACGCAGCTAGAGAACCACTTGCTTAAAGCCACCCCTGGGAGGCAGGTGCTCTCATTACGCCCATTGTACAGAAGAGAAAACTGAAGCTGGGACAGGCTGGGCGGCCTGCTGCAGGTCCCACGGCTGCCAAGGAGCAGAGGCAGGATGTGAAGCCAGGCCGCCTGGCACCAAGTCTGGACCCAGAGCCCCCACAGTGGCCTCTGATGTTACCAAGCTTGTGCAGGATGCAGAGGAATTCCTGCCCACTTCAGTGACTGTGGGCCCAGAAAACAGACACAACCTCCGTCCCAACTGCAGCAGGGTCTCTGCGCAAAGGAGGTCCCCACCGCTCCCATGGCCCCACAGGCACAGCCGCCGCCGCTTCTCACCCTTTATTGGGGCTCTGTCCGGCCCAAATAAATATAATACATTAAACCCAAAGATCAGGGAATCGTGCACCCCAGGAGGCGCCCTCCACGGCACCAGCCAGACAAAATAAGTTAGTGGGGGGCCTGCCAGAGGACAGGCCAGTTCCCTGGCTGGGCGGGCGATGCAGCCGGGTGCGCACACTGGTCTAAAGTGCATCTCAGTTCGGTGAACCCCACATCCGCATGGCCCCCAGTCCAGCCACTGGGGGGGTGGGCGGAGGCTCCCGGCGCTCACACCGTGCCAGCAGTGGCTGCCGAGGCTCTGTGTCCATCTGTCCATTTGGGGGACAGCCGTGTGGCCAGGCTTCCTCAGGAAAAGCTATCATCGGGCCGTGGCTGAGAGTCGAAAGGAGGGTCTGAGACCGTGATGCCTTGATGCAGCTTTTCCAGCGAGAACTTCATCTGGCGGGAGAGGAGCGCAGGGCGGGGGTGAGCACTGGTAGGGAAGACGCCACCACCCCCACTTTGCAGCTGAGGAACTGGGGAAGCACAGAGACACCATGCCCCTTGCCAAGGTCACCCTGTGAGCAGGGGAGAGCCACACTGCACTCAGCTGAACTTCCCAACAGCCAGCAGACAGAAGGGGCTTAGTGTGTGCCCAGGACCTAGATGGCAGGATATAAAAATCCTGGCTCTGCCACCTACTGGGTAACCACGGGCAAGTCCTTTAACTGCCCTGGGCCTCAGTTGCCTTATCTGAAAAATGGGTCAGTAATAAGCCTGTTTCACAGGATTATTTGGGGGATTTGAGAGGTAAACATCCAGAACCTGGTGCATAGCCAGTGCTCAGTGCATGTCAGCTATGATTATCTGCTGTGCAACCCAGGGCAAGTCCCTGCGCTCCGCACACCCTGGTGTCCCTATCTGGAAAATGGGGATAACAAGAGCGTCCTCCTCATGGGGGCTGGGAGGCTCAGGTAAGTTAGTCACCGAGGGCACCTCCCACAGCCCAGCTCAGGGTACGTGCCCATCCGCACACACTGCTTTAATTCATTGGGGAGGTTGACTCTGCGCCCTTGGCAACTGGAGAGGGATGATGACCATTGGAATGTACCTCACGATAAGGAGGCCTTGCCCTCCTCTATGAGCAAGAGGGCCCTGGTCTCAATCCCCACCGCACCCTGTCCTATGCGGCACTTCCCACAGCCCGAGTGTGCTTCAGGACACCCTGAGGCCCCTGAATGCAGCCTATCCTCTGGTGCTCACAGGTTACAGAAGGCTCTGACCAGATGCCATTATCACCTCCCAGTCGGGCTGTGATCCCCACGGGAACCCAGCCAGTGCCAGCCATTCCCCTGCTTCCCACCTCCACACCTGACCCTAGGCATGTGCTAAAAAAATAAAATAAAATCAAACCTGTTGCCGTCCAGTCGATTCTGACTCATAGCGACCCTACAGGACAGAGCAGAACTGCCCCATAGGGTCTCCAAGGAGTGCCTGGTGGATTCCAACTGCCGACCTTTTGGTTAGCAGCCGAGCTCTTAACCACTGCACCCCCAGGGCTCCTAGGGCCCAACATTTGCCCCAGCCTGCCCCAGCTGCCATGTGGAGCCTACTGGGAGGTGAGGGCATCACTGCACGGTGATGTCATGTTTATTGAGCACCTACTGTGTGCCAGATACCAGGCTCCCACTAGTAACAGCAAACACATATAAAGCATTCACTACGTGCCAGGCACTATTCAAAATATTAACTGATCGACTTCTCACGACAGTCTGAGTAACATCAACTATTATCCCATCTGCAGGGGAGGAAGCCGAGGCCAGAACAGTCACTTGCACAAGGTCACACAGAATTAGAACCTGGCCGTCTGAGTAGGTGCTGGCCCTAGACTATAGGGGGCATTTGGGGCAACCCCCTTCTGGAAACAAGACCCCAACAAACTTTAGAAGACCCCTCCTCTATTCTCAGACCATGGGACTTCTTATCCTCTCACCCCAAAAGGGGAAAGACGGCGAGAACCAAGCTTAGCCCACCTCTGGCTGCTGTGATTGGTTCAGGAACGTGCACGTGATACTAGCAGGGCCAATGAGAGTGAACTCTTTCCATCAGATGTCAGTCAGGAGTGGCAGGTACCACCTCTGCCATCTTGGGGGAGAGCATGTCCAAACACACAGCCAAGAGATGGTGGAAGAGTCCAGTTTTTACTACTATTGAGTGGCTGGATCCAGCCATGCCTGAAGTCAGCCCTCCTGGATTTTTTTTTTTTCCAGTATGTGAACCTAGATTCTCTTTTCTCCATCCCTGGATTTGCCCAGCAACCCTGCGAGGGCTTCCCTGTTTCATGGATGAGGAAAATGAGGCCCAGAGAGGCAAGGCACGTGCCGCACCGCGGGGTGGGAGCCCCGATCCCGCCGTCCCGAGGCCCCAGAGCCCAGCCCGGCCCTGCTGAGCAGCCCCGCCCACCTCGTCCAGGAGCTCCACGGAAGCCCGCAGGATCCGCCTCCATTTGTGCACCTCCACGCTGTGGAACTGCTTCTGCAGGGCCAGGATCTCCGCCCATTCCGCGGCCGTCTGCGGGAACTTGCTGTGGGGGATGCAGGCCTGAGCGGGGCCTTGGCCTCCCGCAGTCTGCTCAAGCCTCTCAGACCCCCAGGCTCCCCACTTACCCCTTGGCCAGGGCCAGACTGTGCCAGGACTCGAAGGTGTGGGCTGTCCTCTCCAGGGACCAGAGGCGGTAAAAGAGGAGGACGTTGAGGGCCATGAGGATGATGAGGCTGGGGGCGGGGGGCAGAGGTCAGGAGCCCTGGGATACGGACACTACCGCAAGCTGGGCGCTGCTCTCTACACCACTCGCACGACTGTGCCTTGAAGGGGGACCACGATCACCCCCAATTCAGAGGAGATGAAGACTCAGAGGGGGTGTGCAACGTGCCCAGGATCACGCAAAGATCAGGGTTCCAACCCAAGCCCGTCCAGTGGCCGCACCCGTAACTGCCCGGCGCGGCTGCCCCCCTGGGAGAGCCAGGGGCACCGAGCGGGGCGGAGAGGCCGCAGCAGGAGGGGGGACACGGGGGGCGGGAGGAGCGCAGGACGCAGGAGCCTACCTCACACAGATCCTGAGGAGGCGGCGTGGGGGGAGACAAAGATGAGAGCCATCCAGTGCACCCTAACCCACTCCGCACCCACTCCTCGATCCCCCCAGCTCCGGGCCCAGCGCTCCGCACAGCCTCTCTCTGGGCTGGTATTAATGCGCAGCAGCCCCGGACGCACTGTGTGGCGGACCTAGCCCTCCCCTCCCGCGGTGAGCTCTGCTTGGAGCCGGGGATCTCTCATGCCGGCTCCTTCCGCGCGTCCAGGCCTCTCTGCCGAAGCAGCAGGCAGCCCTTCAGCTCAGGAGTCCTCTCCTTTCCCTCCCTGCCCCGCCTGTCAGGATCAGTCCGCCTGGGCTCCCCTGCCAGCCCCGATCGCTCTGGTCTGCTGTCAGGTCTCTCTTTCCCCAGGGTTGCTGTCACCTGTATCCTCAGCATCACCCCGCTTAGGCCCGGGCCCAGGAAACACGTGTAACGTATAAATGACCTTACTTCCTCTGCACGCCTCTCCCCGTCCACCGGGCTAATTCCTCATCCTCAGGGTCCCCACCCCTCCAGTGCCCTCCCTGTCCCCCACCCCTGCCGCCTGCTCTCCCAGCAGGACAGAGTGCCCAGGGATGAGGTGAGCACCTACACCGTGTGGGGGGCTCCTTGGGTGCGCCCCGAGGTCCTCGCATTCAATCCTGTCTGCAGGAGCAGCCCATGCCCCACCCCAACGGAGATGCGCGGAGAGGACACGCACTCGCCCAAGGTCACAGAGCCAGGATGCGAAGCCCGGCCTTTCTGACCCCACAGCCCGGCCCCCGCCTCTTACTCACACGACGCTGATGAAGACCAGGGCGTTGGGGACACCTGCCCCGGGGCCCTGGTCCATGGGCGGTTCCGAGAAGCGGGAGCTGAGGGAGCCTGTGGGACGTTAACTCGGGGTCAGCTAGACATCTCCCAGGCCACCCCACCGCGGGCTCCCCTGGCCCCTCTGCCTGCCCTGCCCGCGCGCACCTGAGGTGTGCATGCCAGGCCGGGTGCAGGGGTCGGGGTCTGGGTGCTGCGGCCCGTCACCGTGGCCCCTCCAGCTCAGGGGCCGCTTCCGTCTCCGCAAGCCCGACAGCAGTCCCCGCGCATCCTTCCCGCCTTCCTCCAGAGACAGCTTCTCGGCCTTGGCCAGCTCTCGCTCTGCAGAGACAAGGCAGGGCTCAGGATGTCCGCGCGCCCGGCCGGGCCACACCCCGCCCTGCCCGGGCTGCCCCCCGGCTGGCCTCTGCCTCTTACCCAGGTGGTGGAAGTAATCCTCGATGCCGCTCCATGAGTTCTTCTCGATGAGGGACTTCACCAGGCTCCACGGCTGCTTTCGGTAGCGGATCTCAGAGGACACCCTGGGGCAGAAGACAGGGTAAGGATGGGGGGTTAGGGTCTCCCCCCAGCCCTGGCTGCCCCACTCCTCAGGCGGGTTCTTTCTTTCCTGCATTTAGTGCGGACCCCTTGTCACTCACAGATGAAACAGACGCCTCAATCCCCTGCCATGATTTCTGTGACCCCCACTAAGCACCCCACTCACCCCCAGTGCTAGCCAGTTCAGCCCTCGGCCCCTTCTGTCTGTACCCACTACCTCAGCAAGTCTCCCAGTTTTAGGCACTTCCTTAGCGCTATCTGCTTCTGCATGGAGGGTCAGGGCCAGGTCAGGGTGAAGACATTCATTAGCTCCTAACGGGGCAGCTGCCGCTGTGCCCCGTCCACGGCTGGGGGTCTGGGAGACATCTCAGCTCAACACACTCTAAACCGAACTCCTGATCCTCCCCCAAACTTGCTTCTCCCCACCTTCCCCCGCTGTCAGTGACAGCTCCATCCTTCCTGCTGCTCAGGCCAGACCCCTCAGGGTCTTAATGACCGTCTCTTCTCACGCCCACATCCAGCCTGTCAGCAAACCCTGCCTGTGGATCCAGCTGGAATCTAAGCGTCCCCCTCCACTGCCCACCCCCTGCTCCAGCCTGTCCCTCTGGGGCCATCACAGCAGCCTCCTCTCTGGTCTCCCTGCCCATCCTGTCCCTCACAGCCTGTTCCCCACACACAGCCAGAGGGAGCCTGAAATACCTGAGTCAGATCAGGGTCCCCCTGGCTGAGCCCTTGTGGGGTTGAGGCATATCCCAATCGGGTTCTGTCCCGAAGGACTCTGGGATTGAGCAAGAATGACTGACTGGACAGTAACCCCGTCCCACAGTCAGAAGGGGACATTAACCAGACTCTCTTCTCTCTCTCCCTCCCCCCAGAGCCCACATTTAAGGGGGGAATCAGTGCTGTCCTCTGTATGTAAGATTCTCATCAAAAGCTGTTAGTCCGAGCAACTGGCTCTTCCTGCCCCTGTTCGGAATCTGAAAGGTCAGCAGTTCAAATCCACCAGCCGCTCCTTGGGAACCCTATGGGGCAGTTCTACTCTGTCCTGTAGGATCGCTATGAGCTGGAATTGACTCGATGGCAACAGCTGGCTCAGCGGGACACTATCAGCCTGGCAGCACCTCCCTCCAGGAAAACCTAAGTCCTCACCAGGGCCCATGATGCCCTGCAGGATGGGGCCCTGCCGCCTCCCTAACCTCACCTATACTTGCCCTCGCTTGCTCTGTTCCTGCCATGTTTCCTGTCCACGCTCCTGCCCCAGGGCCTTTGCACTGCACTGGCTATTCCATGTGAATTTCTCCCCTACTGCCTCCACGTTCTTGGTGAGACACCCCCTTCTCAGAGGACCCTCCCCAACACGTCACTCAGAACAGAGCCCACCTGTGACCCACCCCCCACACCACTTAGCCCTCTGTGCTTCTCTCCACGGCCCTTATCACCAGCAGGCATTACGCAGCTCAACACAAGTCCTTTGTTATCCCGTTCTGCACTAGAACTTGAATGTCCTAAAAAAGGTGTTTTTTTCTGGTGTTGCTGTCTGTCTCTCCGGCACCTGGGATGGTGCTGAGCACACAGGGAAACTGCTCACTTACTTCATCACGGTCTCTGGCCGCTCAGACCCCCTCTGCAGACAGGATTCTCTTTTACGGGAATCCCCAGGCCACCCTCTGCCCGCCCTCTCTGATTCAGAGTTCAGGGGTCTCAGGGAACTTCCTTCACCCCTGAGCCAGCACTTCTGCTCCTCTGCCAGGGTGAGAAGCAACATTCCGCTGCTGACTTGGGGCGAGACGTGAGCCGGGGGGCCCTGGGGCCAGCAGGTGGCAGGTGGGGGGTGGGCTGCTGCTCACCGGAGACGGGCCTTGTCCCGGGCGAGGCCCAGGATGCAGTAGCGGTGGGCAGTGTAGAAGTAGTCCTGGTAAGGGATGCCTTGTGTCAGCACCTCCGAGTCCACCACACACCCACCCGCCTGTGGGCCACGCCGGAACAGCGTCTGCAGGGAGAGCGGGGAGGGAGGTCAGGGCCCGCCCCACCCGGCCACCCCACCACCCCGCCCGGCCACCCCACCACCATGCCCGGCCACCCCATCGCCCCACCCTGTCAGCCCCCCACCCGGCCCACCTGGCCACCCCACCGCCCTGCCCCATCAGCCCCCAGCCCGGCCCACCTGTGTCTCTACCACAGACGCGCTCTTGGGGCCCAGCGGGTTGCTGATGGGAATGGTATATGTCAGCACTCGGCGCTGATGGCTCTTGCTGTCCCCGCTCCACGGACTCAAGGTCAAGTCTGGGGGAAGGAGGGACAGAATGAGGAGATCACTCTTCAGTTCTCTGGCCACAGGCTGTAGGAGACTTGGTCTTTTTGGAGGGTCCAGTTCTCTGAGGATTTCCCCTAAACCTGCTCCTCCTCCTCCTCCTTGTCCCTACCTTGGTGTCTGCCCCCTTCCGTCGGGCCACCTAAGACTAGAAGTTGGTGACGTTCAGAGCTGGGTCCTATCTCCTCCTCACACTTCTCATCCCTGCAGGGGCCGTCTCATCCAGTCCTGCAGCCTCAGTTTCCCCTCTCTGTCCCAGCCCTGGCTTCTCCCCTATCTTAGTCATCTAGCTGCTCTAACAGAAATCCCACAAGTGGATGGCTTTAACAAAGAGAAATTTATTTCTTCACAGTAAAGTAGGCTAAAAGTCCAAATTCAGGGCGTCAGCTCCAGGGGAAGGCTTTCTCTCTCTGTCGGCCTTCTCATCAATCTTCCCCCGGTCTAGGAGCTTCTTCGCGCAGGGACCCCAGGTCCAAAGGACATGCTCTGTTCCTGGTACTGCTTTCTTGGTGGTATGCAGTCCCCCTGTCTCTCTGCTCACTTCTCTCTTATATCTCAAGAGATTGCCTCAGGACACAATCCAATCTTGTAGACTGAGTCCTGCCTTACTAACACAACTGCTGCCCATCCTCCCTCGTTAACATCATAGAGGGGGGATTTATAACATACAAGAAAATGACACAATACTGGGAATCATGGCCCAGCCAAATTGATACACACATTTTTGGGGGGACATAATTCAATCCATGACATCCCCTAAGCCTTAGACCTGACCTCCTGCACTCCTAAACACTTCTCTACTGATGTGCCCTAGGTCTCTCACACCTATGGGGCCCCACGGGCCTCAGCATCTCCCCAAACCTGCCTCTCCTCTTGGACCTCATCTCAAAGCCAGCCCCACCGTCCCTGAGTCTCCCGCCAGAGCCTTGGGCCTCGCCTCCTGGTTCAGCTCATCCTTGCCTGCCTGGGTCCTCTCCCCAGCCCACCCCTAGGCTCCTGGCCTCCATCTCCCCTCTGCTCCAGGGGTGTCTTCCTAAGGCCCAACCTGACCCCTGTCCCCTTCCTGCCTATAACATTCCATAGATCCCCAGTGCTCCCAAGACAAAGCCCAAGCTCCCCAGGCTGATGTGCCAGCCCCGCCAGGATGAAAGCATAGTTCTGAGGGAGGTGTATCCCCCTAAGACAAGGCGCAGTCTCCCTGGTTCTGCAGGGGATTCTCCATGGCTTGTTGTCACCTCCCCATTGCCACAGAGTCGATTCCAACTCACACCGACCCCATAGGACACAGTAGAACTGCCCCATAGGATTTCCAAGGAGCAGCTGGTGGATTCGAACTGCTGACCTTTTGGTGAGCAGCTGAGCTCTTAACCAGTGCGCCACCAGGGCTCCTCATTATCACCAATTTAAGAAAAAGACTCACAAAAAAACTACCACTTAACTAGCCTCTCTCCTACTTGAATCTCTTCTGCAGCCTCCCGAGCTCCTCAGCTGGTCCCACAGTCACACCTCCAGCCTCGCTCAGCGTCTGTGCCTGGCCTCAGGGCCTCTGCAGCCACCATGCCTGGCCCCTGGATTACACTTCTCCACCCCTCCCCTTCACCGGGCTAAGCTCGGTTCCTCCTGCAGGTCTTCGTTTTGACCTCACATCCTCCCAGCAGCCTTCCCCTGAAGCTCCTCAGCTCACAGATAGCCCCGGTGACACTTCTTTAACTCACATCACACCTGTGATGGACTGCACTGATGTGGGCCATTATATATTTCCTGTCATTCTTATTTGATTCTGAGCGCTGAGGATAGGAACTCCTGCGTCCTGGTCTCTCCTGGTCCGCCAAGCCCTGCACGGGCCTCACAGTTGTTGGTAGGTGCTGTCCCGTCAGTTCCAACTCACAGTGACCCTACGAACAACCAAACGAAACCCTGCCCGGTCCTGCGCCATCCTCACAATCATTGCTGTGCTTGAGCCCACTGTTGCAGCCACTGCGTCAATCCATCTCGTTGAGGGTCTTCCTCATTTTCGCTGACCCTCTACTTTACCAAGCATGATGTCCTTCTCCAGGGACTGACCCCTCCTGATAACATGTCCAAAGTACATGAGATGTAGTCGCCATCCTCGCTTCTAAGGAGCGTTCTGGCTGTATTTCTTTCAAGACAGATGTGTTTGTTCTTCTGGCAGTCCACAGTATTTTCAATATTCTTCTCCAACACCGCAATTCAAAGGCGTCAGTTCTTCTGTAGTCTTCCTTATTCACTGTCCAGCTTTCGCATGCACATGCCTCACAGGGTTAGCGCTAAATGCATGACTGCTCATGCACGCTTATTAAGCACTTACTATATGCTCCCACAGCCCGGGTGGTGCAGTGGCTGAGCACGCTGCTCACCAAAAGGTCAGCAGTTTGAATCCACCAGCTGCTCCTTGGAAACCCTATGGGGGCAGTTCGACTCTGTCCTGTAGGGTCGCTATGAGTCAGAATTGACTCGACGGCAACAGGTTTGGTATATGTTACTGTTCTAGGCACTTCCCTGGCGTTAACTCATTGAGTTCTCCTGAGAACCTGATGAGGCAGCTACTGTCATCATACCCCCATTCTACAAGAGGGGAAACTGAGGCACAGAGTGGTTCAGAACCCTGGCCAAGCTCACTCAGCTGGTAAGCGGCAGAGCCACCTCTGTCACAGACCATGCTTTCAGCTCCCTGCCCCGTCCCCCCCAACACATATCCTCACAAAAACCGCCCACTGTGGGGGGGGCGCTGTCCCCTCACCTGTGAACTTGCATTGCTGCAGGAAGCCTTGCAAGAAGGCCGAGTCGGAGAAGAGCATCTGCTGGAGCCGCTCGGCCCCCACGTGGAAGACGGAGTTGATAAGCAGACGGCCGGAGAGGTCAGGAAGCAGGGCGGTCAGGTCAGCTGGGAGACAGAGAGGGGCGGATGACGCTGGCCTCCAGTCCCCGCCTCGTCACAGCAGCTCCCTAGTTTTCCCGGGGGGCTGCTCCTCCTCATTCCCAGGCTCTGTGTGGACCAGCAGACCCATCTTCCTGAACCAGAGTGGACAGTGACACAGGCCACACATCCACCTCCTCTGCCACAGGGATTAGCTTAGGTGGGCATGTGCCCCAGGCCCAGCCAATCAGAGCCACCACGATAGGCCCAGCCAATCAGAGCCACCACTGATAGGCCCAGCCAATTGTAATCACAGTGATTATAGGGGTAGACGTGTGCCCAGACCAGGCCAGCCAGCCACAGTGATTGGTTTGGGGGCAGGAGGGGGGATGGGCTCTGCTCCAAGTTGGACCAATCAGAGCCAACCTTACGGCTTTGGGTGCAGCCACTGGGACAAACATGCTTTCTCTCTGCTGGGCTCATCTGAGGCACAGCTGAGATACCTCGGCCCCACAGGAGAAGCACCTACCTGAGACGGAAGCCAACACAGAGGTAATGAAAATAACAACAATAGAGATAACAATAGCCAGCACTTAGTAACGGGCCCAAGCACTTTCCATGTATTAGCTCACTTAACTCCCAACAACCCTATGAGGTGGGTACTATTATTATTAAGCCCATTTTTCAGATGAGAAAAACGAGTCTCAGGGAGGTTAAATAATTTGCCCAAGGTCACACCTAGGAAGTGGTACGGCCAGGATTTCAACCCTGGTGGTCGGGCTCCAGAGTCTGTGTTCTCATCTACCCTGCTACGCTGTCTTCAAAGCAGAATCCAGAGACGTAGGTTTCCAACAACACTGTGTGAATACCTGGATCAAGCCACACCTGATGGCCCCCAATGCTTTAGTCCCATGCACCAATCAGCCCCTCCTGTTACGCGTAACTGCAGTGAGTGAGTCCGGGGGCCATCTGCCTCACCTTCCTCCCCTGTGGAAGAGGAGGAGTTACTTGTGTCCGTCAACAGCTCCTCGCTGGGCAGCAGGTCCAACGGGCCCAGGGAGGTGGGGCCATCTGGCTGGGTGGGCTCTGTGCTTGAGGGTTCAGCTGCTGGTGTCACTGTCTGGCTGGAGTTGATGTCTGGCTGGCTGGCTCTCTGCTCCTCTTTTTCCTCCTCTGCCTGCAGAGAAAGGCCAGCCTTGCCTCACCTCCACTCAGCTGAGAGCCCTCCATGGGTCCACGCTAACCATACGGGAGAGCATCTAGACCTCAGGCAGGAAAACCAAGGCTTGGGGTGGGGGCGGGAGATAGGGTGTGTGCATCGAGGGCTCACGGCCGAGCTGGGAGGGGCTCTGGGGCCACGTCTACCGGGCCCCTCTCAGCACCCACCAGGCCTGTCTTAGATGCCTGGCCATATACTTTCTTTCCTGTCCTGCCCATCTGTCCCATAACCCATCTGTCTGTCTCCTGCCAATTCCAGCTGTCCATCTCTTGTACCCTTCCATCTCTCACCCTGTCTCTTTGCCCCCCATTTGCCTGTCTCTCTTTTTCCCCGTCTGTCCCTATTCGTCACCCATCCCTCCATCTGCTCCCTCCTTCATCCCTCCAACCATCTTCCCTGTCCTCTGTCCCTCCCCTCCCCTGCCCCCCCAGTCTGTCAGTCTGTCCCTCTCTCCTACCGCACCCTTAGCTTCCGCTGTCTCTCCCTCCTCTCTCCTCTGCCCTCCCACTCACCCCATGGTCCGCATCACTGCTGGCCCGGGAAAGGTTGGGGGTGATGTGGCCGCGGCGAGAACCCACTGGGCTCGGCTCCTGGCTGTGGTCGGCCGCCCCCGAGGGGGTGATGTCGCTCAGGGCGATCACTTCTCCCACTTCCTTGGGGCTCCTGTGGGGAAAGGGAGAAAGTGGGATTGCCACTCAAGTGGCCTTGAGACCCCACACACCCTCCTGGATCTCCCAGACCTTAGACAACCACCTCAGTCCACCCTAGACCCCAAGAGCTCACCCACAGCCCATCCTGCTGTCCCACCGCAGGAACCACCCCCAAGCTGACTCACCCCAGACCGTTCAGCTGCGAAGGGCAGACGTAGTCCTCATCCTCGCTCGTGAGGCCCAGCTCGGAGCCGTAGCACTCATGCACCAGGTGCCAGAGCTCGCGGGGACTCAGTGTCTAGGCACGGGGACGGCAGGTTAGCCTCCACCTCCCCGGGGCCAGAGAGCCCGGCCCACCCCTACCCCACCAGCCCTCAGCCTCAGCAGTTCCTCTGGTTTCCACAAGGGGGCAGCCAGTATCCTCGGTACTAGACCTCACCGACACGCTCCTCTCTATCCACAGGCGGCCCAGCTACATCTCCTCCGTGCTCCAGGCCCTGCGCTCATCACTGTATGCGCTCATTTTTACAGAGGAGAACATGGAGGCCCAGAGAGGGGGAGTCACAAGACCAGAGGCAACTCTGGGATTCAAACTCCGCCAGACTCCAGAGCCGAAGCGCCTCTCTAGGCTGTCTTGTCCCCTGTCATTTTTCAGGTGTCTTCAGGAGACCTGGGAGTTCACCTACCCAAGCCATGGTGTTTTCAGCTGCCTCATATGCATGCGAAAGCTAGACAGTGAATCAGGAAAACCCAAGAAGAATTGATGCCTTTGAATTGTGATGTCGGCAAAGAATACTACTATCCTATGGACTGCCAGAAGAACAAACACATCTGTCCTGGAAGAAGTACAGCCAGAGTGCTCCTTACAAGCAAGGATGGCGAGACTCCGTCTCACATACTTCGGGCATGTTATCAGGAGGGACCAGCCCCTGCAGAAGGACATCATGCTTGGTAAAGCAGAGGGTCAGCGAAAAAGAAGACGACCCTCAATGAGAGGGACTGACACCATGGCTGCAACAATGGGCTCAAGCGTAACGACCACTGTGAGGATGGAGCAGGACCGGGCAGGGTTTCGCTCTGTTGTACGTAGGGTCGCTATGAGTTGGAACTGACTCGACGGCACCTGACAACATTGGCCTTTTTCATTCTTCGTCTCTCAGGGCATGCAGGGGAGACTTCCAGAGGCTACGCGACTGTAATGCTGTCATCAGTTGGGACGGCTAATGTAATGTGTGCTTGTGTTTCCATTTCTAATTCAGCAAATATCAATAGGTAGAACCCACTTAAACAAAAGCGCTTTGGAGTCCACAATAATTTTACAGAGTGTCAAGGGCTCCCGAAACTATAAAGCTTGAAAATCACTGGTATATTCTGTGCTGGATACTATACTTTAACTTTATATTTAATTTGACTTATGTATATAATTGCATCCCAGTTGTACACGTCGATATTTTTGCCATTAAACGTACGTACAGCCACATTAACTGAGATAAAGATAAATCCGTGACATGTGGTCATTTAAAATTAATTAAAATAAAATCCTCAATACACTAGCCACATCTCAAGTGCTTAGTCGGCACAGGTGACTAGTGGCTACCATGTTGGACAGCACAGAGAGAGAATATTTCCATCCTAGCCAAATACTCTATTAGACAGTGTTGATTAAAAAAAAAACCCATTGCCTTTGAGTCAATTCCGACTCCTAGCAACCCTACAGGACGGAGTAGGACTGCCCCACTGGGTTTCCAAGGAGCACCTGGTGGATTCAAACTGCCGACCTTTTGGTGAGCAGCCGAGCTCGTAACTGCTGCACCCTACAGACTATAAATAACTACATGTTAGCTCAGGTTGGCTTCTGCTGCCAAACATTAAAAAGCCCCCTCATTTGCAGAGCAGTTTTGACTTGTGGGTGGCGAATAAGGAGCAGCAGACTTACAGTTCTCATGGGCAGGATCCGCGCTGGAGCCCTTGGCTGCCCCCATGGTGGGGCCTACAGAGTAGTGGCAGGTGCTTTGGGTCTGGGGCCCGTGGAGAAGAGCTTTCTCCAGCCCATTAAGTCTCGGCACCCCTGGTTCCATGGCCCACCCTACTCCTCATCCCCACCTCGCCCTGGCCTCCCCCAAGCCCACCTTTTCAAGTAGCGCATTCTGCCAGAGGCGGAAGATGAGGAGGAAGCAGCGGTCACGGGCCCCAAAGGAGGTGAAGAAATGCTGCAGGAGAGAGGGGTGTGAGCGAGGTGGAGGGAAAGAGAAAGGACAGAGGACAGTGGAAGCCCATCCTCATCCACACTGCCCGCTGTGTCCCCATCTCTATACCGATGTATCCATTCATTCATTCCACAAAATGTCTGTCCTGGGCCCGGCCCTGTGCCAAGTGGTGCTGGGGTCACCACAGTGATGAGACAGCCCTCGGCCCCGAACTCAAGGAATTACAGTCCAGGCAGGGAGGGAGACACATGTCCAGGCAGGCACTGCCCACAGTGGGGATGGCGGCCGCCCAGAGCACTTTCCCACCCTCCTTTGCGGCTAGGGGCAGTCAACTGACCCACTTTGGGCCAATGAAACACACGGGGAAGTCAGCTGCGAAGTCTTTCCCCCTGCTTAACTCCTTGTTCCTGTATGGACCTCTGGTGCGAGGCAGCCATCTTGTGACCATGAGGCAGCAATCATGAGGACAGAATGGAGAGTCAGGGAGGGCTTCCAAGGGGAGGGGGCATCTGAATTGAAGGATACATGGAAGGGAAGGGCTTCTCTATTACTACAAACCCTGAGAAGTTGAGCGAGGGGACAGACTGCAGGGACAGAGATAGGAGGCTTCTGTAGAGATCCAGGTCAGAAACAATAGGAGCTTGGGTGAGGGCAGGGATGGGGTGGAGCCTGGGTGAGGGTGGGGACGGGGGGGAGCCTGGCTAAGGGCAGGGACAGGAGAGCCTAGGTCAGGGCAGGGACGGGGGGAGCCTGGGTCAGGGCAGGGACGGGGGAGCCTGGGTCAGGGCAGGGACCGGGGGAGCCTGGGTCAGGGCAGGGACGGGG